AAACAAAAATGAGTCTCAGACTCAGTACTCCGTAAAACGTTTTAGGAATCTGTCCTCGAAATCGGAGTGCGAACAGACGGAACAACCAAAACGCAATCACGGAGTCACCGACTTCGGATTACGGAAAACGACAACGGCTTTTGAATCAACAAACAGTAAGCAATATATGATGAGAGAGAGAGAGAGAGAGTTCTTACCGGTTTTAACGAAGAAGAAGATGATAGAATTGCGTGAAAATGGCGTGTGAAGAAGATAACAGGCCAGAGTTTTGGTTGGATCGATGATTACTTCTCACGTACAGGTTACAGGAGTCTGTGTGAGGAGCCCAATAAATTCTTCTCTAACTGTATATATAGAGAGAGAAAGAGGAGAGGGAGCGAAAATTTGGTGATGAAAAAATGAAATTAAAACATAAAAATAAAAAAGACCCAACCGAAACTATGAAGTAGCAGTGGAAGCTAAGCGTAGCGAAGAATTGTACGCATAGAGGGGCGCACGTTAGCTGTACCGGCCGTTTAGCCGATTTGTCCTTTGCCATCCGGCTCGGCTCGGCTCGGCTTAAATTTCGGCTTCATGGCTTCGGGTCGGGTCGACATGGACTTTAAGTCTAACGTACACGTTGAGATAAAGATTCTATTTATATATGAATTTATTTCAAATAAAGTAAAATATATTTTAAGAAATTATTTATTTAATTTAATATTTTAAATTTTAAATAATTATGTTTATGAAAATTTTTATTCCAATTTTGGTAAAATATATTATATTAAGTGAGTTAATTAATCAAAAATTAATTTATTATTAAAAAAAGTAATTAGACAAATATTGAAGAAATTTTTTTCTTAAATATTTAATTTAAATTTAAAAAAAATATATTTACTTAAATTAACATATATATATATATATATCGTACAAACACGTTAAGACGTCGTATTCGTATTAATAACTTATTATTTAATGTTAAAAAATATTTTATTTTAATACTACACGTTAAATATTTATTTTTAAAATCATAACCTTAATTAATTACGAATATATTATTCATTTATTTTTTAAAATTGACATTAATATGTACTGTATTTGAAAAATATTTAAGTATTAAAATTATAAAAATATTATACACAGTATGTTTCTAATAAAAAATATGTTAATTTTTTAACAAATTTTATACCTCATTTTAACTTAAATATACAATATTTTATTTGATATTATATAATTAAATGTTACATTTAATCATAAAAGAATATCACATTAAAAATAAAATAAGACACTAATGTGGCATTAATTTTAAGTTGGTATTGAATTAAAATGTCTTAATTATATTTAAAATTAGTTAAAAATTTATTTTTATAATAAAAATTTAATTATCTCATAAGTAAATAATTTTGATCTCATGTAAATCATTTTAATTTACCCTTCTTACCCTCTATATATATATATAATTTACCCTTCTACATATATACTTATTATTTCTTATCTTTTAAAGCACACAACCTTTGTATATATGTATGTATGTATATATATATATATATATAAATATATGTGTATGATATTAGTGCTTCACAGGGCGGTGCTGACCAACTTTGATGCTGGAAAGACACTTTTCCATGGAAAAGAAATTTCCTCCAATCAATCAACCTCATGCTCATAATATATATATATATATGTATATACACACACACACATATTACATTATATTTTTAAATTAGTATTATGATTTCAATAAAAAAAAAAT